AGTTATTGTATTAAAATAAAGAATCTTTAATAAGGATGAGTTTAGTAAGGCAATTGTAAGAAAACATTGGGATTTGTAATAAGGATGAGTTTAGTAAAGAATCGTTTGCTTCGTAGATTTGAAAACTGAAAGTTTTAATAAAACTTGGATTTTGTAAAAGCATGGATATATGAGGGTTTTTGGTTCATTATGGATTTGAAAATACCATATTTCGTTTCATAGAGTTCATGATGCATTTGGTTAATTGAATTTGTATGTTGGAAGTGAAAATGACATATATTAACCTCATTGGTATGAGAAGGGAAATGAAATATGAGGGGTAGGTTGGTCATAAATAATAGACTTCAAAGTCCATGATCAGTTTCCATCTAAAGAGGAAAATTCTCAAGTCCGTGGGGCTCACGAATTTGGAACATTAAAATACATGAGACCCACATATTTGTTGTCTCTAAATACATGACGCAAGCAATGGTTGAACAAAGTTCACGATAGCTCCAAATTCATTAAGCAAACAACGCCAGCTATATGGTTGTGAGTCTATGACTGCATACCAAATTTTGGCAATAACAAAAACTTTTTCAATATCGAAGTCTCAAAATGGAAATGTTTTGGTTTGTAACAGTAAGCAATTTATATTTAGATCGAGTTATCCTAGCCACAAAATTTTATTTTCATATTTCAATCGATGAGCCGAGTTCAAAGGTATTAATCAGGATTAAAAATTAAAATAAAATGTTATACATACTCTTAGATATTAATAGATATGTCTACAATACATTCAAGAATTCAAATGTATGTAAAATGTCAGAATGTTTCTACGAGTTATTACATTTTATAAAAAAAATCCAAGAAATCATATAAATAATCATTACTTAATATTGTAGGAATCTAAAACTAATTTAGTGCCACATTAGTACATGGCTAGCTCTCATCCTTCCACGTTGGACAAGGTCTAATTGGTGTGCTTTTTTGCTTACTCTTTAAATTGTCATCATTATCAATAAAAATTAAATTAAGTTAATAAAAATGAATGCAACATTCTGGTTTGTTCCTATTCCTTTTCCCATACAACATTGAAAATAAAACACAACATTGATAATAAAGAAACTTGATCAAGCTCCACAAAAACAAATAAAGCTCTCTTCTTATTTGCTTAAATTTGGAGTTTCTAGAATTTTCTCTTCTCTACTTTTTTGTATATAGATTTAGGAAAGGAAATGGTAAGGCATATTGAGTTTTTTCCCCCTCTTTGTAGGAGAATAGGAGGCGGGAGTTACATGATGCAATGATTTGTTGGGAAAGAATTGAACAACTCTAACATATTTTTGCCTATTGACTAAGAAAAGTCCAACCTATCATTTCTCCCTCTTCCCTTTTGATCCGCAGCGGGCAATTGATCTTTCTTCCTCGGAGATATCTGACTGCTAGCGGTTGACTGGCCGAGTTATAGTCTTCTTCCCATTCTTTTCTTAATCTCTTCCAGATTACGGCGACTGGATAGTAAATTTCCCTTTTCGATTAAATGGTTGTATTTCTTCTTCTTTATTCTGGTAGTTGTTTTATGATTCTCTATTATCCTGTATACTTTGATGTAAACATGTAACATATAATTCAAAAGGTTTGTTGCTTGGACTTGGAGCATCTCTCCTTTGGTTGAATAATTGATCGTTTTCCTTAGCTTGGAGGCCTATTGCAACTCGATTCCTTGGATGTTAAAATGAAAAGTAGAGTTGTGAGCGTTGTTCATTATGTTTATTATGTTCATGAGTGACATGCTACTTGCTAACTATATGACGATGATCTGATCAAGTAAATAGTATGTAGCCAGGGGTTATAAGTAGGAGAGAAAATATTTGGGGTTTTATAAAGGCCGTGAAAAAAAAAATGGTAGTATATGTCGATGTTTTTCTCAATATCTAGACGTTTGTAATGACATTGGTTTGTTTCCTTTGTGTGAATTTTGCCTAATTGAATCCCTATTTAAAGCTTGATTTTGGCTTGATTGTTTTCATAACAACTACTATTTGGATTGATGCATCAATCCGATTCACAATGGGGACTCTGCAAGATATAATGACTTGAGTTTTATTGAAGTATACAACTTTTACTATTCATCTATGTTGTTATTAGGTATAAAAACATGATCCTTTTGGCAAGGGGTATGTAGCTCTCTACTAATTATAAATTATGATTATATACAATTTAGTTTACTAAAAACATAGTTTCAATAAATTAGTGACAAACAATATTTTTAATTGTGGTTGTTTTTGCTATAATATTTTCAAGATAAAGTAAACGAATAAGCGGAAGATTGATGATGTGGATGCCAATGTGGTTTCTCATTCAACAAAATTACACGAGTAACTGATACTGCACGATATTTGTGGGATCTAGATGGCGATATTCTCTATTATCATATACCAACGTACGAGAAGGGTGAGAAAAGGGAAGCTCTTCACTTTTTTTTATTAATTGAAATATATTTGCAAATTTTAACTTCTTCTTTTGTGTCCTTCAAAATTTTAACTTCTTTGTCACTTTGTGTGCAAAAAAATTAAAAATCTCTTGGTTTATATCTTAAATGGTGGATTCGATACATAATTATAAATCAATGTATAATAGTTTAACATAATGAATCATAAATAAAATTATAATACTAGGACGAAAAATATAATAACCAATCAAAATTTGCCGCCCAACGGGCGGGTATATAGCTAGTTTGTAATTACTTTGTTTACTATGAACTAATCACGATAAATAAAAAATCATGAAGTAGGGCCGGAGTTTTCGGCTTAGGATAGGGTGAGTAACCCTTTGTTACTCACTCGTGAGTAACCACCTTAGGACCGTAGATCTGGGCCGGGCTGATCGTGTGGCTGTGGTTGATGCGGTGATGTCAGGGGCATTTTTGTCCGATTTTTTGAATTAATGACTTCCCCCTTTTGTCCGTTGCGAATCTTTCTGTGCGCGAGTTGGATTCGGTTTTTGGAGAGAGAAACTACGAGCAGGGTAGCAGCAGCTGAGAAATAAGGACGGCGATTCTCCATGATTGATCGACGGCGATAGAAACTGCGAGCAGCAGCTTCGAATCGAGCTTTCTGATTCTCCATAATTGATCGACGTGTGCGCGAGTTGGATTCGGTTTTTGTAGAGAGAAACTGCGAGCAGCCGCTGAGAAACAGGAGACGGCGAATCTTTTCTGATTCTCCATAATTGATCGACGACGAGGTTAGATATTAGTTTTTTTGATTCTTCCTGTTTAGCTAATCGAGTTTTCTGTTGATCTCTGGTTTCGTTGGAGGTTTTTCATTGCTGCTAGTCGAGCTTGTTCATGTTTAGCTAATCGAGCTTGTTCATGTGTTATGTTCTTTGTGTTTTGGTGTTTTTGCAGTATTCTGGTGAGATGAGTTACGTAAATTGTGGCGATGTTGTTCCAATTGATAGATCTGGTTCTTCAACCAGTGTTGTAGGATCTGGTTCTGCATCTAGTGCTGTTGGAACTGCTTCTTCATCTATCGATCTTGGATTTGATCATTCAGCTAATTCTGGTGAATCAGGAGGTAAGATATACAAATTTGTTTGTTTATTGAAGTTTGAATGTGTTAGATACCATTTGGTACCATGGTGGTAATTACTAGTATACGATGAGAGGTGATACTATAGTGTTGTGTTGTGATGTTATTGTGCTCTGTATTTAAGTTTTACCATACCATACCATGGTGGTAATTACTTGTACCATGTTTGGAATCATTGGTATAGTGTCGTAATTTGATTTTACCATGCCTTATCATGTGGTATAGTATGGTAGTTTCAAGTTAAAGGTGGGGTTATGTGTGGTAATTGATTTTACAGTGCATTACCATGTGGTAAAATGTGGTAATTAGGAAGTTAAATGTGAGGGTTCTGTGTGATAATTGATTTTACCATGCCATATCATATGGTCTAGTGTGGTAAATTGATTTTACCATGTCATACCATGTGGTATAGTGTGGTAATTTGATTTTACCATGCCATACCATGTGGTATAATGTGGTAATTTGATTTTACCATGTCATACCATATGGTATAGTGTGGTAATTTGATTTTACCATGCCATACCATGGTGGTAACTCTTGTATCATGGCTGTAATTATTGGTATACATTGAGATTTCATACTGTTGTGGTGTGGAATCCATTTTACCATATCATACCATGGTGGTATTATATTTGTACATATTTAATATGTTGCTTCATAATGTTTGTAGGTTTCAATGGTATAGATCCTACTGTTCGTGATTCTTGGAAGGACTTAGAGTTCAATACACCAGATGATGCATATAATTTTTATGTTGATTATGGGAATCATGAAGGTTTTGGTGTGAGGATTTATAACCAATCAGTGTGTCCGAAACTCAATGGTGGTTCTTCAGCTGTATATTATATCAAGTATTGTTGCAATAAGGAAGGTTGGAAAAGAGGTAGCGAGAATAACCCTGATAATGCAGGTGTTGTTGATACGACGGTTCGTGTTCGTAATGTTCCAGAACTCAGGGGTGGATGTAATGGTGCTTATATACGACTGAGGTGGTTTAAAGAGTTTAAATGCTACAAGATCTATCGTTGGTATAATGTGCACAACCATGACATGATTCCTGAGTCTCTGCGTCACTATGTGAGATCCAGCAGACGAATGACTCCTGTGTATAAGATGTTAGCAGAGGTGAATGATGCTGCTGGTATTGGTGTGACTTCTTCGTATAATGCAATTAGTAGGGCTGGTGGTGGTCGGAAGTTTGTTGGGTTCACAAAGAATGATTTGAAGAACCATCTGCGAACGGTTAGGACGTTATCAATGGAGTATGGTGATGCGACTGCATTGCTTGAATACTTTAGACGTCAAGCACTGCTGGATCCTAGGTTCTTTCATGAGGTGGAGGTTGATGTTGAAGAGAACATTGCTAGTATTTTTTGGGCATATGGGAAGATGAGAATGGATTATCATTATTTTGGTGATTCAATTAGTTTTGATACTATTTACCGGACTAGCAAAGAGTATCGGCCACTAGGTATGTTTTCTAGTTTGTTGTTTATTATTGTCTTTGTGAGTTTGTATGATTATTATTATTATCATTCTGGATCATGGTTTTTTTGTTCTTACAAGTCTGTACCATATGGTATGGGGTTGGTATGGATTGCTTTTTTGTTCTTAAAAGTATTTTACCATATGGTATGTGTTGGTAACAAGGTATTTGAGGTGGTTTTTGGGTTGTTAGAAGTTTGTACTATATGGTATGGGTTGGTAACAAGGTTATTTGAGGTGGTTTTTGCGTTGTTAGAAGTGTGTACTATATGGTAGTCTGGTGTGGATTGTTTTTTTTTTGTTCTTAGAAGTCTTTACCATATGGTATGAGTCTATACCATATGGTATGGGTTGGTATTATTGTTATTCGTACCTTTTACCACATGGTATGTGTTGGTAGAATTGATTTTACTCACATTTTCTTATGTTTTAGTAGCTTTGTTTGTTGGTTTCAACAATCATCACCAACTGACTGTCTTTGCGGCTGCTCTTCTATATGATGAAACAACAGCAACATTTGAATGGCTTTTCGATCAGTTTTTGAAATGCATGGGAGGTGTGAGACCGTTATCAATGTTTACTGACCAGGCTGCTGCAATTGCTGCTGGTATAAGGTCTGTTTTCCCAGATTGTTTTCATGGGTTGTGTACATGGCATATTGCTCAGAATGCAGTTGTTAATCTGGGAAGTTTGTGTGACTCTGACTTCCTTCGTGAGCTTAGTTATTTGATGTATAATGCTGATGATGAGGATGATTTTGAGTATAATTGGAAGAAGATGATTGAGAAGTGTTTTCCTGTGAAGGGACCTTTGGGAAACAGTTGGTTACAGGGCATTTACAAAGTCAGGACGAAGTGGTCTTCAGCCTGGATGAATTGTCATTTTGGTGCGGGAATGAAGAGTACCCAGCTAAGTGAGTGCTGCAATAGTAATATTCGACATTACTTGCAGTCAGAGTTTAGCGTTAGTAGGTTCTTTGTGCACTTTGAGAGGATGCTTGATAATAAGAGGGATGCTGAAGAACAAGAAGAGTATTATGCCTTATCTAGGTTGGCTGATTCTCGGTTTTCTACTAGCCCTATTGTGAAGCAAGTTGCTAATGTGTATACGCCGAAGATATTCAAGTTTTTCCTGGATCAGTACAAGGAATCTCTTGCGTATAATATTTTTTTCAAATACGGAGATAGAACCAGAAGGACATGTAGGAATGTTTGATGTCTTCATATTGGAGGATGACCTTACAAGGTTGGATAGTAGGGTGTTGAAGGTTGATTTTGAAAACGGTGAAATCAAGTGTTCCTGCCGTAAGTGGGAGTCAAGTGGTATGATCTGTAAGCATCAAATTAAGGGATATGATATGTTGTGGTCTACAATATGCAATCTGAAGTTCCAGCACATTCCTAGCAGTTTGATTTTGAAGCGGTGGACAAGAGCAGCAAAATCTGGAGGGAACTTTTCTTTTGAAGTTCCGTCTACTGATAGTCCATCGAAATACCGTTCTCGTCTTTTCAATCTGTCAGCTGTTTCTGCATCAATGATCAGCAGGGTTGCATTGGATGATGATTTGTATAAATCAGCCATGGCCTTCATGACTGATTTGATCAAAAAGTGCGAAGCCCTATCGATTACTGAACCTGCTGGAACAAGCACATCTTCTAACGGTGACAGTAAGTTTTTAATTGTTCAGAGTTTTGTGTTTTGATATATGCAATTTTTTTAGGAGAATGATTTTATATATATATCTGTCATTGATTGTAGTTTGTTTTTGTTATCTTGGTATAGATGATGTACCAGTCCAAAAAGTGAAGGGGTTTAAGCCTAAAAAAGATTCATTCAAGCCTTCGAAACGACCAATTCCAGTTGCGGAGGCTGCAAGGGCTATAAGTAAGAAGAAGAGAAAAACTAGCAGGCTTGAGGAGGAGTATTTGAAGGCTGTTGAAGAAAGTTTAAGGCTGAAGCTGTAATAGTTTTCTTAGAGGATTATTTGAATGAATGGTTGATGCTGGTTGAGTTGTTGAAGCTATTTTGTTCTTTTGGATTGGTTTTGGTTTTGTTGGATATTTGTCTTGTCTTGTTGAATTAATTTTACAATGTCATACCATGTGGTATAATGTGGTAATTTGATTTTATCATGTCAAACCAGGTGGTAAAATGTGCTATTTTGGAAGTTGAATGTGAAGGTTCTGTTTTATAATTGATTTTATCATGCCATACCATGTGGTATAGTGTGGTAGTTTGGAAGTTCTGTGTGATAATTGAGTTTACATTTGCCATACCATATGGTATAGTGTTGTAATTTATTTTTATCATGCCATACCATGTGGTAAAATATGATATTTTGGAAGTGGCATGTGTTGTCCTGTGTGGTAATTGATTTTACAGTGCATTACCATGTGGTAAAATGTGATAATTTGGAAGTTAAATGTGAGGGTTCTGTGTTATAATTGATTTTACCATGACATACCACCATATGGTATAGTGTGGTAATTTGATTTTACCATGCCATACCATGTGGTATAGTGTGGTAGTTTGATTTTACCATGCCATACCATGTGGTATAGTGTGGTAATTTGATTTTACCATGCCATACCATATGGTATAGTGTGGTAATTTGATTTTACCATGCCATATCATATGGTATAGTGTGGTAGTTTTGGAAGTTCTGTGTGGTTAACTGATTTTACATTGCCATACCATGTGGTAAAATGTGGTAATTTGGGAATTAAGAACACATGTTAAGTATTTTTTTTTTTCGCAAAGTCAGTTGTTATAAAATCAGACATACAGAGAAAATAAAAAGAGCGCGGGAGTCGACCAATAGTCGAACTCCCGATGAGAGGGCCTTTTATGCCACATGATGGGCAGCCCTATTGAGATAACAGAGAACAAAATAGTAAGAAACCCAACTACAGAGAGAAGCCGAGCTCTGAGCATCCTGCACGATAGTTCCATCCTGATCATGAGCCAAGTCACCTGTCTGAGGAAGACTCTCCGATAACGGGAGCTCTTCTGCGTGCCCCTCACTACAAGAAAAAGTATATATAGCTATGAAAAAATTCATGGCTAAAAGGTCAATATTTTGTAGCTAAAATATATTGCCACAAAAATTTTATTTTGTAGCTCGTGTAGCTAAAAGTGGCGCAGCTAAAGGTTAGCTACGCATTTTTGCACATGTGTAGCAAATACTTAATATTTTAGCTACCAAAATATGTACGACATAGCTAAAACAGTAAATGCTTCTTGCCACAATGTGAAATTGGCATAGCTAAACCATAATGTTATTTAGCTACATAAAATACAATTCATGACTTCATATAAAATACAGCTATGAATAATCCAATTTGAATCTAAATAAATTAAACTTCTTGCTACGAAATTCCTACTAGCTAATAATAAAATAATTATTTTGTAAAATTTAATATTAATTGTCATTTTTAGCAAATAATTCTTGCTACAAAGAAATATGTAGCTAATTACTGAACAAAGAAATGAGATTTCATTTGCTACCATATAACTTTGTCGCTAGAGCTTTAACCTAGTACCAAATGGACATTTGTGAAGGTTTGTTCTAGTATGTTGAGCTCGTTACTAATACACTGGTCACAAATGAATTTAGTTTTGTATTTATCGCTGAACAATTCGATCAATAAGATGAAGAGGTAATCAATAACCTACGACCAACAAATTGAATGTATACAGTGTCTCCTACAATTCGATACAATGGTATGCAATCAAGAACTTGAAAGAAAATAAAATTATATATCTTAAATAGAGCGAGACGACAAGTATAATTTGTATACACCGGAAACAAAAACAAAAAGGATAAACTCTCATAAATAATTTAATCGCCTGCCTTATTCCGTTGGTTAAGCTCTTCATCATCCATTAAATTGCCTTCACCAATGACAGCTCTAATCGTCTCTGCCCTTCGTCTAACCACCACAAAAACAACCATGAATCTTACACGAAACAATATATTCACCCACAAACAAAGATCCACATATATAAACCAAAGAAGAGGAGAAACTTTCAAGAGGGAACAACGTAACTCCGTATTGCTGCCATCCTGAAACAGATGTGATATATAAGTTATCTGTAAAAGAAAGACTGTCATCTTATGAGTTGCTGAGAACATCCAAAATGATCAAAAAGTGGTGTTAGTGTGACAGTAACTATGGAAGCGGAAGGGCGGCGCATAACGAAAGAAATAGTAGAGGCGATAGCAACGCTACCTCAGATGAAAAAAAGAAGAAGATGAATGGTGCTCGGCCGAGGAAGAAAGAATCCTTTCTTTGAGAGCTAGATGGAGAGAATGGGTTGCTGCCCAAATAGAGAAGGATGGCGGAAGTGCTATCCTAATTATACTAGGTTAAATTTGTATCAACCATCCAAATTAAATGTAGAAGAATAAATGGACGGCTGCGATAAGACGTCAGCTAGGGTTTTTATGATTTGGTTTAGTACCAATTCACAAATACAGAGCATTCTTATAGTTTCTTTCTTAAATTTGTTAAATTTTAAGTTTTAAGAGTAATTGCGTTTTCTAGCATAAACATAATCAATTATGAAGAATTTTACAATATTTTATAACACGAGCATTTCACTTTTTTGTTTTTATGTTATAAATTGAATTTGTACTTTTAACATTATAGTACAAATTCGATTTGTACCTATACCTTTTTGTACAACTATCTATGTGGTACAATCTAAATTTGTACCTTTATTTTATGCTACGAACTGAATTTGTACCACAACATATATGTACAAATTTCTGTACGGTACAAACTGAACTTATACTGTTAATGTTATAGTACAAGTTAAATTTGTAAGCTTTATAGTATAGTAGAAGGACTCAATCATTTAGTGGTGCACAACTTTGTACTCCAAATGATTAGGATATAACTTTCTTTATGGCTAAATTTGTAGCTTTATTTTATGGTCATATTGAACTTGTAACATAACATATATGTACAAATTCCTATATGGTTAAAAATGAAGTTATACTTTTAACGTTATAGTACAAATTTAATTGGTACCTCGAAATACCAATACTTCATAGTACCGTAAAAAATGAACTTATACCTTTCTTTTCTTCAATCTTTTACATATAATAAAACATTCAATTGTTGCAAAACTTGAATTTTCAACTAATTATGCTCAATTACTCATTCTATTATAGATATCTTCATTTATAAAGTGTATTCCCCCGTTTTATTGTAAAAAAATCAAATTTTCACTTTTTTCAAATATTATGTGAGAATGGACCAACCTGCCCCAACCCATATTTGTGCAGTATTACCTGACCCGACTCATTCTTTATCCGAACGGGTATGAATGGGAATTGATATACCCGTCTGCCCCACTTGTTTGTTATCATTATATTTAATTATGTTAGTTTATATAAGTAATTAGTAATGTGGTGGGAGAAAATTTATTTTGTATGACGAGTAGGGGTGGGCAATATAGGCCTACGCAGGACCGAATCGATTTTTGAACCAGATCACACCGAATTGTATAATGTATGGTACGGTTCTTTGTTCTCATGAATTTTATAAATACTGAAGAAAAATGGACCAAATTAACATTTGAACCATACCAAAAGAGACTGAATGCAATATTAGTTCGGTCATTGGTCCTCAATTATCTTTCACTATTGAACTGTGAATCTCCTGAATTTGATCCATCCAACCCGGATAGTACCGATTTCCACCCCTAATGAGATGGAATAT